ATATCAATGGAAAATTGGTTTTCCCACGATTTTAATAACAATTACGAATATGATGGGATCAGGTATAAAATATACTTGATTTTAGTATTTATTTTTGCGTATGTGAAGTGACGATTGGGGAATTCCTACCAAAAATCGGAGTAAAACTTATACAATGCTGAAAATGATCAATTTCTCGTGGAATTCTTCATGATTGTTCAGAAACGCTGTGTTATTAAATTTGATCTATTTTTTCTTCTACCTTTAAGTCTACCATATTCATTTCATAGGAAAAAAAATCCATGAAATTTGAATTTGAATTTGAATTTGAATTTCAATTTCAATTGGAATTTCAATTTTGATGGCTCTCTAAAAATTGACACGATGTGCTTTCTCGTGAAAGAAATACAAAAATTCCGAAACTCATATTGAGTTTACCGGAAATTCCATAAAAATTCGAAAAATCCTACAGGATTCCTCCAGTAATTTTGAAAAATTCTGATTTAATTCAACTCTCAAAAGAATGACAAAAATGATAAAAAACTTTGGATGCGATAATTATCAAGGTAATTGTTATATTGCATCACTGGTTCCATTTTCGCGACAATCATGAATTCCGGAAAAAATTACCCATTTTCAGTGGAAAGTACTATAAACAAGCTTTATCTTCTAGGAAAATATCCAAAACGAAAGAAACCCCTCAAGATTGCGTGATGTTAAAAAAAATTGTTTGGGGCAAACGACAGGGGGCGGTTGGGGGTGTAGTTGCCATAGATGGGCTTAGAGTCAGAGAATTTGGTGGAAGGTATAGGTGGTGGCGGGTCGAAGGGTCGGAGAAGAGCCTCCACCCGACGTTACAGCTGCTGTCACATAAATATCCGGAAACCCCCTGAATTCTAGAGGTATACCCGCTCGAGGCATCCACCCCCGCTAGTCATTGCGGGATACCTACAGTCTTACTTCTTCTCCCTCCCCCTCACCCACCACCTCATCCACCCTACTTTATCCACCCCCTCAGCCCTCACTTCTCAACTTACAGAAACTCTCGCTCACTCTTGCGGGGAACCAGGGGAGCTATCGATTCTCAATTCTTACGCAAAGGAAAAGTAAAAAGGAAAGATGCGAGTGCGAGAATTCTCCATGCTTGAACACTTACTCTCTGAGAGAAACGAAATAAAATGTCAACTCTTTTGTAAAATCATGTCAACCGTGTCTGCGAGCGAATTCACCGGCATGGAGGGAAACCGAACAAAAAATTATTTGAAAAAAAAACATGGAAAATTTACGAAATATTACGTAATAACATAATTATTCGTAAAATCCCTGTTTGATTTTATAGTTTCTAGAAAAATTATGTAACTTTTTCCTAACTCTTGGAGACAGCCCCGAAAATTTAATGAACATTTCAGATTTTTCTCTTCTAGTTCTATAGAAAATTTCACCTAAAATCATTCTCGCTTGCGAATTACGGAAATATTTCGTTATTTTTCTTGAATAATCTCTCCGTGGATGCACAGAAAGAAAACCGTTTTTTTTTATAAACAATAATATTCAATAATATTTACCCTCACATTTTGTAATTGAGTAACAAATCGTAGTGGCTTGTCGCAAATTTTTATCAGTAATTGGAAAAAAAATTACATAACACTCAGGAAAAATTGCACGGACTGCGATAATTTTTCCTCCAACTTCGGTGGAAAGTTCTAAATTACCACTACGCTACAAATGACAAAACGTCAGGATAAATGTCATCAAATATTTCTCTCCGTGTGAGAAAGGAAAAAAACTTTACAAAGTAATTGTGCACTTGTCTCAAAAATGAGGATAATCAATGTGTTGAGTTGTTTTTACCCTTCAAATTTAATACACGGTTCCTTGTTGCCGACACAAATTATCCTTTATCTCTAAGCCAAGTATACAATCAGAAAAAGGTTTAATTAGTCAATGTCCTCCGCCGTTGAAATCATGAAAGTTTTTCCACTCAGTCTAATGTATAATAAAATTAAATGAAATTCAAAATAACTAGAAAATAAAATTTAAATTGCCAGGAGAAAAAAATGCACGCGAGAATAAATACTGTTCACGATAAATTTCCGAAAAATCCCCTCACAAAAAAAACTCGAGTTAATTTGTTCCCTGAGAAAAAAAGTGGAAAATTCCCTGGTCGCAAGATTTTGTAGGCGTAAGCCAATTTGCCACGGTGGTATCTAGCACGAGGATTTTCCCTCCAACCCCCAGCATCTCCTGAATTCTAATGGAGATGAGCAAAAGACACGCGGTGGCGTTGTATCTTTAATTATCTAAGCCTAAGGGAAGTTATGAAAGCGCTGGAGGACACGAAAAGAGGGACGACATGATCTTGTCCTCATGGCCGGGGCGTGGCTCAACCTAACGTCCGAAATCTCTCACCCTCGTCCCCCAACATCTCACTCACCCCCTCAACCCCTCACTCCTTCACCCTCTTTCGATAGAGAGTAGAATTTCTCGACCCTCACCCTTCACCCCTCGACGCCGACCAAACCGCACGCCCACTAAACCCCCTATTTTCCCCTTTTTTGTCCGGGCTTTTTCTTGTTTTCTTTAAACCCTACTGGTGAGACCTGGCTGTTTGTTGATTGTTGGCTTCGCTAACTTTATTCAGAGTCTATTGAAACATAAATATGTGGCAATCGCGAGTCAACGTTATGAGCTATATGTACATCATTTGTTCGAAAAAGAACTCATGAATGCAAACGATTTCAGAACTTCAGCACGAGTCACCCTATTATTCATTAATTTTCAATTTCAACAATTTTATAACAATACGCGTATTCTTTAAAAAGATGCGCTGTAACGCAATTATGAATGCAACGATTTTTTTCAATATGTTTTCCTATAACTTATCATGTGCAGCAAATCTGGTTATAGTGTAGTGGATATTTGGAAATTCAGGTATTCCTGAATATTTGGCAATTGTATATGGAGGCATTTGAAAAAGATCCCTTATTGAATTTCCCTACATGGCAAAATAGTAAATAAATTGGTCGCGAAAGAGTCCCTGGTAATTTAATACTTTGACGAGACTCTCCCAAGAATACCCCAACAGGCAATTCATTCGGAAAGACCATTTTTGCGTGACGGTCTCGTTGTCGTCGTTGCTGAGTGATCGAGGACAAACTGAGGCCTGCTATTTCACCAACAATGGTGGTTCAAGCAAAGAAAGCGATACCAGGGTGGTCACGCAACTCACCCCGTGTGCGACACTGCGGCGAATTTGTTTCGTGACGCTATCTAAAATTACCCGATGCACCCAAGCATCTGAGATTTCAACAAAGAAATTCGCGGCCCATAATATTTTTCAAAACAACCAGTGCTATATATTTCTGGGCTGTTGAGACGGCGTTTTTTTTTTAGTAAATTAGCATCCGAGTCGAAAACGCGGACTCCCTAACCGCACGGATCAAATTTTTCTTACTGACAGAAAGGCGGACTCAGAACTCTCGTTCTCTCAGGAATTTCGATATATACTGAATCGAGTAAAATTTACGTCCCACTCAGAGAATAAATCAAATTTTCACGCGATTTTATCGTTGTTGAAAATTTCAAATTTTTCGTTTGAAATTCCAAGTGTAATTTTCAGTATATATAGTACCAGTTCCTAAGAGAGACATCGTGAGGTAAAATACGGAAAAAACCATTTTCTCATTTTTATCCTCCCTCCGCGCTTTATTTCTTCATTTTAATTTAATTGGTGGCGGTGAGATGACTCGTTCATTTGAGTTGGCCCCTTAGGCCAAGAGCAGAATGAATTCACCGAGGTATAGAGGGAGTGAAAAATAAAAAAAAAAACTGAAAAGAGGTGACGTGCGTTGATGGAGGTGGAGGAGTTTCAATGTCAAACGCGTGAACTTGAAATTAATTAAGACGAGAGAAAAAGCGACAGAAATCACCAGCCTGGCAAATTGACCTCTCATACAATGCGAAGAAAACAAACTAATATCCCACATCTAATTTCTTGAACCGGTAAATTTGCACATTCGATCAACTCGTGACTTGAATTCCGTGAAATCTAACTTATTTCGAGTAAAAAATATTGTGAGTATCGAGAGCTCCAAAGTTTAAGAGATTATCCTTGAAGTAAGAGAGAAGTAAGAAATCTACTTTCTCGATGAGAAGAACTAATTCCACCCCTGAGATTTAATTCTTTTCCATTTAATTCTCTGAACGCTGTTAAAGGCTTCTTGAAATTTCAGTCACCAAATTACCTGAATTTTCAATCGTATGAGTGTAAATTTAATTGCAACTCAAAACAACCACAAATTTTGAATTTATTTTGACAATTCAAAATCAAATACGATTAAATTTCCAATAGATTGAAAAATCAAGGTAATTATTTTTGGAATTTTCTACCGTACAGATCTGAAAATTCAAAATTTCAAGAAAACGGATTCGTTGATGAAGAATACAACAGAAATTTCACTTTGTACTTATTAGAAATTTCTAGATTTTCCATTCAATTTCCAAGTCTAATCTAGCAACAATGAAAGAGATTTGTCTCAAGAGATGACGTGTTTAGCACCAGAGGCGATTTCCTGGGAATTATCTCATTTTTTCTGTGAGTCTAATAAGGTAGACTATAATAACGTGATGGGGGATTATTTGGAGGTCCGCAAATGGATAGAGCGGGAGGAACAGTGATACAAGACGTAGTACAGTCAGACACGTACCACCAAATTACCGGCGTGGAATTCACTAGGGGTACAGGATGGAAACGCCAGAGTGGACTGGCACTGCGATAGAGGGGAATGACGGTAACTGCGTTATGTTTTTCCCGAGAAAAACTGAATGCAATTTTCCCCGGTACTAGTTTCCCTTTTGTTCTATCTGGCGTACGGCCCACGGAACTTTCTCATTTTATCCCAATTTTTTTATCTCTCACGAGCTAACCCCCCCTTTCGCAACCTTTTCTACTCCTCCAATTCTACGTGACTCCTTAAATTCCGAGGGATCAATGAGAGAAGAAATTTTCTTTGGCGACTCACCTTGATGGTTTCCTGGGGGGAGTACCTCGGTGGGCGCTGCCCGTGTCCCGGAGACTGAAGATTCATCGCTCCAGCATCACTTCGAGTTTATTAGAAATCTGGAAAAAAAAAGCAATACTCGTTAGATCAATTGATTCATCAATTTAGTTAAAAGTGAAATTATGCATAGGTGCAATACCAGTAGTTACAATATCATACACAGAAAGAAATATTCAAGAAAAACTTCTATAGAAATATAGTAAAAAAATCTGATACGTTCAGTAAATTTTCGGGCCCCTCGCCAAAAGAGTACGAAAACATCACGTCATTTTTCTGGAAACTCGAAATTTCCCAATTTTCTAAATATCATTTTTATTAGAGGACAACTTTATTGCCCATAATTTTCTTGCTACCCCATAAAATTTCGTACAATTCGACATGTTTGAGCCCCCTAACTCCCCTAATGACATGAAAATCTGATACGTTCACCCCCTGATTATTATTTCCCTGGAAAGGTGACGGAAAAAATAGAAAAATGGATAGGCTTGACCGTGAGGAGCGCATAGGACGCGAAGACTCGAGTAGAAAATAAAAGAGAAAAAGAGTGGTGAGGGGATGGATGAGGGAGAGGATGTGAACTGGTAGGAGGGTTGGGATGCTGGTTCGCTTGTCAATACCAAGAGGTACGTGACCCAGGTACCAAGTGACATCAACTGAGAGAGAGGTGCTGGCTTTCTCCTGGAATGGCAACATAACCCCAGCTATACAACCCAACACCAACACAATTCTCAACGTTTTCATGGCTTTCCCGGTATTTTCACTTGCCCCCCGCGACTCTTTTTTCCATCGTTCATCATTGTGCATTGCCTCCAGTGAAATAATATTGAATAAAAAATCAATCCATCAGGTTTTCATTATGGATATTCAGGTTCATCTTATTCAATTCCAGTTCGAAAAAAAATTACCATTTTTATTTGTCCGGGGGAAGTGAATAAAAATTTAATGACTCAAGGTAAACTCGCGGTGAGATTAAATTTTTTTATGATAATTGGTAATTCGTCTAGCAAAATATCCGCAGAATTTCGCGATGTGTTATTGTTGACGTGAAAATTCAATTTAGTGAAGAATGGAAAATAATTGCAGAGTTTTTCATCAATGTGAAGAAAATATAGTTTCGGATTTTATGAATAAATAGCCAATATATTTATTGTGGCAAGCCGTAACCTCGTAAATAACAACTGCTGCATCACTCGATGGAGAGGAAATAAAAATAAGTGGAATTGGAAGAATTCCCGTATGAAGGAAGACACAGTTTGAGGAAATACGATTGTGAAACTTGGTTGTACAATACCCTAGAGGGATCGTCTCCTTTCACGTAAAAGTTCCAAGGTTTCGCCCATTCCTTGTGTCAAGTATCGAAAACTCCTGCTGCAAGCTCAGTTCTTCTCATGATCATTATTTCACGTAACTCGTGACAAGAACTTTTGTTTTATTTTTTCCGAGATGTAACATATATGCGCTGCCGTGTGCTTCGATTATAAGAATTATGATTGAAAATTTAAAAATTAAATGAGTTCTGCATTCAAATTAACCGCCTAAGACGACTGTCAAAACGCAATGAAAAGTCCAATAAATATTAGCCGCAAAAACTCGTACAATTACGGAATACTTCGTAAGAATCCTTAAAGATAATGATTCGTGAAATCTCTGTTAGATTTTATCGAATTAATAGCCTCGAAAATTTACTGAAAATTTCAGATTTTTTTCTTATATTTAAAATGAGGTGAAATGGTCGGTAATTTTTCTTGAATATTTCTTCATACACAAAAAAGTGAGAAAGAAAAACATTTGGACAAGACGTTTACAGCCTTGAAATGAATGAGAACTTGTCCAGATATGCGAAGTGATACGATAATCAGAACAGAAGGGCAGAAAACAAGCCGTACATGGTGCGAGGATTACAATACGGCACAGCTAATCAGGCGAAAAGCATAATTAATCACGTGAAATTTGTCGTGATTAACGATACACACTGCGGGGAGTGAGTGAACAAAGCGCGAGATTGCTACCATAAACATCGTTAGCACCCTTCCAACTGACTGTATACCACGACAAATGGACCATGCCTTGACAATCGCCACCTAAACATTCATGATCACTCGTCTCTTTCTCAACCTCTAATTTTAATGAGTATCAGCTGATGGGATAATCTTCCTCATTGTTTGTTAGAAATTTAAGGGCCAGCGTCAACTGTACATTGTGACATGCGCCGGTGCCGAGGGTGTGTCGACTCGCAATTTCCATAAAATGTTGAGGACTTTGTCATGGAGTCCTGATGTATTTTTAAAGGCTTGATTTATCGTCCATGTACAAAGTTTTAATGACAATAGAGACTTCAATGGAACGCGTTTCAGAAAAGTTATGTATCATGTGAATTCAGAAAACCTAGGATTTAATTTACTTGAATATTTCATGAAACCATGAGGTTATTAATAGAGTCTCAAAGGCAAAAGTATTTTCACTGAAGTTTTCCGAACTCTTTCCCAATTACTCCATTTGAATAATCAAACCAATATTTATAATTTCTAGTGATCTATCCATAGAATTGCACTTTGATTTTTTAGTTTTTTTTATTTGTGATTTTTTAGTTCATCTTCGAGAGTTCAAAATTGATGAATCTCCTGAATTATCAATCCTACCCATCGCCTTAATATCTATTAGAACCTAATAATTAGACTTTACGCTAATCATCATCAAGTCTAAAATTTCCTCGAAATAATATGAAATGAATATTTCATCTAATTATTATTCAGAGCAGCCCCCTTACATGCAACCATTGCAATTAAACAATTCTCTTGAGTTTCCCCCGGAAAGAACTCTCCCCCTGGCATATTCCAAAAGGAAAACGTTTCCTACTAATGAGGGCTGAGCAAACTGTCGTCCACTCGCCACCAGTCTCGCAAAACTTCTAATACGTAAACCGACCACCCATACTCCCCCATTTTAATGCACTTGCCCGTTCATTCGCCTATTATAGCCCGTAAATAGATTAATGGCGTGCCGACGATTAGCCATGGGGTCCACTTTTATGGCGTCTAAAGGTCAAGGGGGTTGTAAAGAGCGAGAAGGAAAATAATACTCCACGTCTTTCCCGTGCATTAACTCTTGAAAATTTCGCCCCGAATTCGTCCGGTATCTTTTTTAAAAATTCTCATCACAGATTCGGTGACGAATTATCTGAAGAAATTTTCGCGAAAAGTTTCTCTTGAAAAAATTCTCATGCAATATAAATTTTTTGTTTCATTTTTTAAAAATTCTTATCAGAAATTCAATGAAGAATTCTTGGGGAAAAAATCGAGTGTTATTCACGTGAAATTCTTAAGTATTATTTTTTGAATGATTCTTTCTTCGGAAAATTCTCGGCGATTATTCATGAAATAAAAATTTTTCTTCCCCAGCATATGACTATTCATATGCATGCCACTCACGGATAAGGGAATTTTCCACAGTGGTGTCTTCACGAAGTACTGGGGTGTTGATTTTTAGGAGAGTGACAGTGATCGAGAGCCCAAGATCGTATCGAAACTTGACTCGATAACCCCACCACCCCGACCGGACGTATCGTTTTAATCACCACATCCGCGAACGAATAGAACCCGAAGCCCACTCTCAATTTCTTTCCCCTTTCTCATTTATTTCCATTTCTTTTTTCATGCGTGCGGCCATGTGACCGCAGGAGGTCCTCCACTGTTTAGTAAACGTAATGCATTCATTAAATTTAACATTGCGTGACCCAATTGGGAGCAATTCGAGTTATATTATTTCTGCGGTTAATGAAATTACAGGGTCAAGGGACTGTTGATTGCATTCACGAGATCCACTTTGCTTTTTATTCTTTACCTTTCACCCATACCAAATTTTAAATTAATTCCAATAAAGGCGGATGGGGCAAAATGGACATAATGAACATTCCAAGACTTTCCACGAATATCTTTGAATTTAGGAGACAGGAAAATTTTTATAAGAACCTTTTTTGTGGAGCGAAATGAGATTTACAAAAAAAAGCCTATATAAAAATTTCGCTGTCTACCATCACCTGAGAGATATGCAATGAAAGCTGATTGAATAAATCATCTCAACGTTGTTGCATTATTCCTCTGCAAATGAAGTTATAACAACAATCCAGTCATTTCATGAGATTATTCAAACTGGTATCCATATTGCCTCATACTCCCTTACTAATATTCAATATCCCCGTAGGAAAATCCTGAAAAATCGGATCAGAAATAAAATAAAATAACAGACCACGAAAAACTCCCAGTTGGTTGAAAAACTGAATAATCTACCCCGACATTTCAAAAAAGTCTCATTGAAATAAATGGATTGTCCCGCGTGCCTCAGACACTGTAATTCCCCGAGAGCCTCATAAACCGATGAATTAAAAAAAAACAGTGGCTATTTCCACGCTTGCAAGAATTTCGTTCTTACGCTCCAAACACTTCATGTATTTACTGATGTAATTAACGCAACCATTGAATAGTTCGATGGTGTGGAGCGTCAAATCCACAAGGGACTAAAGATAATCTAGTTTTCGGGATTAACGCCGAATCCTTTTAGTTTGTATAGCCTCACGCCGAATAATAGTTTCAATTCGGAATTTCACCGGTACGTGAGCTTAATCATTTCAGCTTTACTCCCTTCAAACTCATGAATCCTTAATTTTGAAACCCTATAGTGTATTTTGCATTCATCGTCTGCCACATAATGTCGCATTCGAATGGATTTGGATAGTTTTCAGATTGAAACTATTTTCCGTAGCCAAATTGAAGCCATTCGACGTGCGACTATCCGAATTGACGGATTCTGCATAAATCCCGGGAGTTGCATTATCTACTTGCCCTGCACCATAAAACTATTCCATATCCGCGTGAATCACTACGTACTAATAGCCAGAGCCCGAAAAAAACAAAAAAAAAAACACGGAGAGTGCATTAATTCACTTAATAAAATTCAGTGCGGAAGCTAGGTTGGGAAAACAAAAAAAAAAGGAGAGAGGTGGTGGAAGAACGGAAAGAGGAGGTTGAGGAGGCACCATAAGGTCTGGGCGGCCCCTTATGCT